CCCCCCCCCCCCCCCCCTCGCAGCCTGCGAGCTGATGAATCAAGGGATCCTGGCGCTGGTGACGTCGACGGGCTGCGCCTCGGCCAGCGCGCTGCAGTCTCTGACGGACGCCATGCACATCCCGCACTTGTACATCCAGAGGAACGGCGGCGGCTCGCCCAGGACCTCCTGCCAGCTCAACCCGAGTCCCGGAGGTCGCGGGTACACGCTGGCGGCCCGGCCTCCCGTGCGCCTCAACGACGTCATGCTGACGCTGGTGGAAGAGCTGCGCTGGCAGAAGTTCATCGTCTTCTACGACATTGAGTACGGTGCGTGACGCGAACGCGAGTCCGAAAATTGTGAATCGATGACACGGTCAGTTGAATTATCTGTGAGGACCTAACCATGTCTAAAGTGGACTCAGTCAGGGGTCACAACGTGTCAGCAGAGCAGCGCTCGCCATGAATTTTTGCCACGCCGCCCTGCATTCCGCTGACTGATTTCCGGTGGTCAGTTTTCTCATTTGCATCGCAAAGTCTTTATTGAGGGGGGGAAAAAAGAGCTTAGGAGCACAAAATCTTAATGGAATCGCATCGGCCATCATGGATCTCCGAGCGGGATCGATGCGGCCAACAATGGAGCGTCCGGATAAATGCAGCGAGATTGAGGAGGTAGCGCAGCTAGCATCCCGCCACAACGGAAAGACCAAAACGCACTCACCGCCCGCACCCACACCCGCACCCGCGCGGGTGCGCACAGAGCAAGACTCGGCTGAGCGTGACACGGCAGTTCAGAGAGGAAATCTCACGCATGGACACGCTGCATTGCACTCTGGGGAAAAACGCCTTTCTCCAGCTGTCAGTCACAAGCCGACGTAGACCTCGGGGACGCACTGATGTGGGCCTCGGGGGCTCGGGTGGTGCTGAAGTTGGCGGGAGGGGTGAAGGGGGGGGGGGCGGTCACTCGCTATCCACTGCGAGCACATCAAACGCTAGTGGCCATGCACGTTATTGATTTTGCCTTTTGTTTCTTTGTTTTGTTTTTTTTTGCAGAGGAGGAGGGGGTGGGGGGCAATTGTCTTTTCCATGAAGTCATTTAAAAGTGAATGTTAGTGTCCAACACTGATGTGGTCGGTGGAGTTAGCAGGAACAACAATTTGTCACGGTGACGCGGTCAATAGAGTCAGTCGGAAGTAACAAAGTTTCACAAAAACTACTGGCCGTGTTTTTCGTACCATTCGTGGGGGAGTACCGGTGTTTCACACCGATGTGCTACTTAGCGTTAGCCGTGAATCAAAAAACGTGTCACGTTGACTTGGTTGGTAGAGTGAGTCATCACTAACAGTTTGCGACATTGACGGCGACGATCGAGTTATGAGTAAAAAATAAAAGTGTCACGCTGACAAAACACAGTCGGGAGGAACAACGTGTCATGTTGATGGAGTCAGTGAACTGTCCGTGCCCATTTCGGGGCTTTCGAGACCTGATTGTGTGTCGCCAACTTGCGCCACCTGGCTGCTGACCGATCAAAATGAGCCAACAGAACAAATGGATCCCATTCGGTCGCCAAGCTCTGCATTCCGAGTTTTGGTGGGGGGACTAATGTCCTTGTCAGCTTTCTGCGAGAAGCAATTCCTCAATTCCGTGCCGAAAAGAAGCATTTTGCTCCCAACTTGACTTGCCTGGAATTTAGTGGCCACTCACTCGACTTGACTTAGTGGCTGTGTCTTACTTGATATTTGTCTCGCAGCAAATTTGTTAGCTTCATATAGCAGCCGCTTGTTTTCATGTTTGTCGCAGAAGAGCAAAAGCGTTGTCTAGAGGGTTTTTTTTTTCCTTTTCTCCCCCCTCCATCTTTGCCGTCGCTTTCACAAGCCTTCCTGGAAATAAGGGTCAGGCTCGGATGAGAAGGAGCCACAGCAAGTCTTCATAAATGTATTCAGCACATTAGCGTGACGTAGCGTCACGCTAACGCGCTAAGACGGCCGCACCGGGATGAGCCGGAGATGGATGGAGATGGAAAGTCCTGCTTGGCCTCGCCGGGCTCCGGCTCGCCTTTCGTGTCTCGCGACGCTCAAGGTGAAGAGCGCAGAGGAGACAGGAAGTCAATTAGCGGCATGCCGGCCTTAATTGAAGCCCAGCAGCCAATTTCAAGTGTGCATTAGCCGTTATCGACGGCGGTCCCCGAGAGATGATTTGATGCCGCGTGGAGCGCGGCCAACTCTCTGAGGTCGTCGCGGTCCACGTCGCGCATGAAGAACCTGCGCGTGATATGTTTGTGTGGCGATTGTCAAGAGCTCAAAATGCGGAAGATCCTCAGACTGCCTCGGCTCGTGGTCGCCGCTCGTACGCGGAAGAGCAGACTGGGAGCCGAACCTCCGTCACCGGGCTCGCGGTTGAGTCAATTAGCAAATCGCATTGGCAGTCGTTTTCAAAACGGACTTCCTTGTTTTGACAGACACGCTTGAATGAACTCAATCACCTTAGTTCATTCTACCACCAGAGAGTTTGATGAATTTTCTTCCGAGCCTCCGTCCACCGATCCACCACGGCGCTATTTGCTTGATAACTCAGTGGAAGAAGGCCAGATATTTTACACGACAGATGAGTTATTATGATTTGAATTTTCCGCATATTTCTCAATCCAGCTGACAAACTGTTCCCGCCGCTCCACGCCCCTGCGGGAAGCGCCGCGGCAGAGCCGTCGAGGCGTCAGTCAGCTTGTGACTTAGTAAGGAAGGTCTGCGGTGGAGCGCGCTGCCAATCCGCTTTACGGTGCTGACCTTTTAATTGAATGTTTTTTCGCTTTACGAGCCGTCACAAACAACCGTGTCGAGAAAGTTCACGCAGGTAATTCTGGCTTAATTGCGCTTTGGACTAAGGGGACAATTGACTGCTGTGTGTGTGTGTGGGGGTGGGGGGGCGGAGTCAACACGGCAAGTCAGCAGAATTGAAAATCATCACGACGTACCGCCACATCGCAGCGCAACAATGTACACTTTGGGGATCCGTCGACAGCATGCAAGGGGCGCCCTTGTTCGAACCGTCAACTTTCTCGGCGGGCGGCTTGATTGACAGGTGACAGGTGTCTCATCGACTCACTCGTCACCTGCTTTGGCCGAGAGGAGAACCTGACATGAGCAAGCTGATCGGGGGCAGCGCCCTCGAATGTTCTCAACTGACCTTACGTGCCCGATGCAGATGAGAAGTGGCACCTGAACGCACCACCACTTGCTTGCCAGATCGCAGACGATGAAAGGGCCCTGAACGCATCATTTCATGCTGGCCAGGTTGAGGACGATAAGTGGAGCCTGAACACATCATTCGCTTACCAGACGGAGGGCAACAAGAGGGAATTGGAGGCGCCATTACTTACTCGCCAAATGGAGGACAATAAGAGAGCATGAACGCACCGTCACATACCGTATTCGTACCTGAATGCACCGCCACCAATTTGCTGGATTGAGGACGATAAGCGCACTCCTTACGCGCCACCCCCCCTACTGGCCAGATAAGAGCCCTGACATGGAATGCACCACCAGTCACTTGCCCGACAGATGATGATAAGAGGGCCCTGAACGCACCACCCCATAATTGCCAAAAAGAGGAAGATAAACTATGCACTGACACTTTTTTTCGCCCCAGAGGTCTCAACCGGCAGCGCCTCCGCGCATGCATGCATGCGTGCGCACCGATGCTCTGCTCTCGAGGGCCGACCACCGGTGACGCAGCCCAGCGCCTGCTCATTAGCCGCTCGGCTCGCTCGTTCACCGCACCTCCAGGAAGGAACCCGCACGGAACTCAATTAAGGCCGTTCAGCGACATAAGCGGTGGCGCTGGCAGGTTGGCGTCCTCTTGCCTGGCGCTCGGAGACTAAGCGGCCCACGCTTGCTCTCTCTGTTTTCTTGGCATCAAAGGCCCGACGCGGCTGTGTGCTTTTGAATCTTTCAAGTGTGACATGAGCTGATGTAACCCTCATCAAGACACATGCGCACTCAGTTTAAAAAAAAAAAAAGAAAGAAAGAAAAATGGCAAACTTAAATGAACTGTCGCCGTCAGCGTTTAGTTGAAACAACAGACGGAGAGCGCCCTCTAGCAGCCGTATTCATCGCGGCAGCAAATAGCTTTTAGCTTTACGTTCAAACATTTCATAACTGCAGCTGAACTGGTGGAATTGTGGCCAGTAACTCTAAATGTGGACCGCCGACCAATTCACGTTTGCGTACACGTGCCCACTTTACACGATTGGCCGAGCACTCTCGGGCGACCTCAAACATGCCTCAAGTGGTTTGTTAACTTTCCTTGATGCGTTTTCCTGTCGTGGCGCAGACATTTGGCGTGTTGGAGCACAGGTGCGCCATTAAGACGACAAATGGTCGCTTTCGACTCAGGATGAGGACAACAGCCGGCGAGGGGCCTTAATAGAAACCCCCCCCAGCCTTCAGCGTGTGTGTGTGTGTGTGTGTGTGTGTGTGTGTGTGTGTGTGTGTGTGTAAAACACGGTGAACTCTCAGCTGAGAGTCGACCCTGAATCAGAGCAGACTTGAGTCAGGATTTTCGCTCTGCTGGCGACCACTCCACAGTTTGTCCACATGTGCCCTGAGATTGACTGGCAACCGTTGCATCCTTCATCCAACGCTCGGAGGCATATTATCGACCCGCTTTGCATACGAGGCCTCGTCGGAGCGGCGGCCATTTTGCATTCCGTTCACGAGCGGGGCGTCGAGGCTTTAACCGCACGTCAGCCTCGTTAGCGTCACAGCCGCCGACGTGCCGCCGAGCTAATAAGCGACGTTAGCACGCGCGGATCATCAATCCAAACGCGTCTTTCGTTACGCCACGCGTGTTAGTGTAACCGCGGCAACCCACAACACTTCATCATACCAAGGAGGAGTCGGTTGGTCGAAGGCGGAATCCATGTCCGCGCCTAACGAGGTGGCCACGGTGGCGAGATTAGAAAATATGATCTTATCATGCGCGTCGTGCGTCGGGGGTCACCGGCCGCCGCGCATTGGCCCTCTGGTGGCTCTGATTTACGTTCTGTCTGAGACGACGAGATGGGGGGGGACGATTAGAGTCACTGCAACTCGTCACCAACACCGCGACTGCTAGCGCGTATTAGTCATAGGTGAATGCATTACATATGAGCAAATGAATGACTGCTTCGTGTGTGTACTGAAATTATGAAGCGATTGGGAGTTCTGACTGATTCTACTTAGGTCGGACATTTTGGGTTTCCAAGGAGACTGCCAGTTTTTATCAGTGGCCGCAAAATTGAGCTGCCTATCAAGGGATCGATTATCAGTGGATGACAGACCGAATAATGTCTGTGCTGTCTTCCATCTTACGTGTGTGTGTGTGTGTGTGTCTGTGTGTGCGTGTAGACATGCGAGGCCTTCAGGGTTTCCTGGACCGTGCGTGTCGAGAAGGTCTGGACGTGTCTCTGCAGCGGGTGGACAAGAACATCAGTCAGGTGTTCAGCGACCTGTTCACGTCCATGAGGACGGAGGAGCTCAACCGGTACCGCGACACGCTGCGCCGCGCCATCCTGCTGCTCAGCCCGAACGCCGCGCACACCTTCATACAACAGGTTGGCAAAGAAATACATACACAAATAACACTCCCGCGCCTTAGCCCCCCCGGGCCAGGCTGAGGACGGGCAAAAAGCAATTTCAAATGAAATTACTTTTATGACATAAGAAGTCGTTTATTTTTTTTTTCCAAGCATTTTTGTTATGTTATTTTGTTATTAATTGAATTTCCGCTCACCCCTATCAAGCTCGTTTCCAACCCAAGCGTACGACAGGCAGTCTGCCCGTCGTCTGGTCTTTGCGTCTGTACGCGCCGCCGTGTCGGCTTTTTGGACAAAGCTGAACACGACACAACGCAACCCCCTCCTCGCCGCCCCTTCCAAACAGATTAAACGCGGATTAAAAGTGGATTAAAAGCAGATGTTTTCACAGCGCCGTTCAGATAAACATTTTCCCCGCGCGAGCACGAGCGCTACGACGACTTCGCATACCTTGCCCATTAGTCACATGAGTGCCTTGTGTTTGCACACCTGCTGTCTCACACACACACACACCTGGACACCAATGTACAAACACTCACACACATACTCACATGTACACACAAAGACACAAACTCAAGTGAATGCGCACACAGAACCACGCGCTCATTGTTGCGCGCACGCACAAAAACTTGAGTTGTTGGGTGGAGAGTCACTCATCCATCTCCCACGATGCACCATTTTTAGCCTCGCTCGCCCGCCCGCCCCCGCTCGCTGGCTAATGCTAGTTCTCACTCGCCCACGCGCACACTTTAGCAAGCAACATGCTAACTCGTGGAGGTTGCGGGTCAGAACCAAAACAAAAGTTGGCTCCTGATGGATATTTATAAATATATTTTTTTGTTGTTTGGGGGTGGGCGGCGTCCTGGCTGCCCGTCACCCTCCAGGCAGATGATTGCCTTGATTGGAGAGAGGCGTTTAAGGCACAAACACGGCGTCAATCTCTGACCACCTCTGTGGGCCGCACATAAAATACGGACTCTAAAGTGGGCAAAAGTCCCGAGCTCAACAAACGGCTGCTGAACGCACCACCGTGCACTCAGCAGAACAAGGGCGATATTTTCTCACGGGATAGAGGACGAATAGAGGGCCATGAATACAATGCAAACTTTCGGTCGAGGGCCCTGAACGCACCGGCACTCGATGGAAAGAGGGCCCTGAATGTAGGAGTCATCACTGACTGATTTGTTTTTAGTTTTAGCCAGCTTGACAGGCAAGTGTTGCTTTCTCACACATTAGCCCGGCGCTCATGCTAATCGATGTCCCCTTGCACAAGAAGCTTATGCGTTGTTTTTCATGTTGTCGAAGAAAGAGAAGAAGCTGTTATCTGGACTTTTCTGTGTGCGCTAATGGAAAAATCACTTTTTTTGTCCCAAGAGCAAATTAATACTTGGATAAACTGTCGGAAAAAAATAGATCCCATGTGCGGACTAAATGGAACAAAGCTTGAGAAACATCAAATGGATATTTTTGCCTCTGCTTTTTTTTTTTTTTTTTTGGACAACTCTTTTTTTCTGGCGTTCTTCCGAAGCGGGTTTGTGTCGGATGAAGATAACCTCGCTGACAAGAGGCCACTCGGGTCGCGGCGACATCAGCCTTTGTGTCCGTCTGTGCTACCGGGGATGATATGCCACCATGGTGCTTGTGCGCGTGTGTATATTTTGACAATATCTGAACAAAGAAAGTACCGACAACACACATGTTTACAACGTGCTAACACAATGATAACATAACACACGACCAACCTGCAATCACGCAACACGCTGACAAATAGCATGTCAACATACAGTGTGAGGTAGTTAGGTTTGCAGGTAGGTATGCTTTTCCATCCCATGGGTGAAGGTGGAAAAACAGGAAGTGAACAGGAAGTGGCCGGTGTGAGGCAGGAAGTGTGATCAACGCTAGCATTCTTGTCACTCGCTGAGTCATTAGCGAGATTCATGTGCTCGCGACACGCACGTCAATGGGGGTGAAAAATGACGCAATTATCTTCCTGTGATGAAAAGTGTGTGTGCTTGTGCATGCGTGTGTGTGTGTGTGTGTGTGTGTGTGTGTGTGTGCGCACGCGCGCACGCGCAAGTGCTCAGCAAATGTCATTAAGCTTTTTGTCGTCGCAACTTCAGCCACACAGACACTCAGAAACTCAGACACACACACGCGCGCACACACACACACACACACACACACACACACACACACACACACACACACACACACACACACACACGCACGCACACAGATGGTGTCAAGTTGTCCCAAGAGGCCATTTTGGCGGTGCTGGGCCGCTGAAAGCTTTTGTCTGACTGCGGCCATATTGTTTGTGAGAGTCCATCAGCCACTCAGGTGAAATCATAGGAACAAATAAACACACACACACACACACACACACACACACACGCACGCACACACACACACACACACACACACACACACACACACACACACACACACACACACACACACACACACACACACGTACGTTGACACAGACACACACACAACTCACCACACACACTCACTCATAATTGCACAAAAACACAGAGACACTGTTAGATACACATTCGTAGAAACAAGAAAACGCCGCCTCGGGATAGTGACACACACAGACACACACACACACACACACACACACACCGACACGGTGTTGCATACAAATGGACAGGAAGCTGGATTGCCGGTCTCCTAGCAACAGAGTGGTGGATGCACTTGAGGAGGCGGGACTTGTGAAATCAGCATGAAAATGACACCTAATCAGTCAGTCAGTCAGTGTGACTGTGTTTGTGTGTATTTGTGTACATGCGCGAGTGTTTGGGTGAGTGTGTTTGTGTGTGTTCACTTGGGGAATATGAAGTCATGACTCAGTAATTTCACTCGCCGTGTGTATTTGTAGTCCATCAGTGATTGGCTGCTCCATGCATCTTATATTTCCATGGTAACGAGGGTCACACACATATGCACGCACACATGCACACGCATGCATTAGTGTACGGTCAAGTGGTGTGTCAGGAACATGTTTCCTGTGAGGCCTTGGGTGCAAATTGCTTTTAAGTGTAACAGCACAAGGACACACACACGCACACACACATTGACCGGTTGATCGACCAAGAGTTGTGTCCCAATAATTTTTCTGATTGTGCGGCTTGTAAACATTTGTTTTTGGTCTGTTTGTGTCGTGTGCGTACAGGCAGTGGAAACCAATCTGGCCTCCAAGGACAGCCATTGGGTGTTTGTTAACGAGGTAAGCTCATCAATACCTTTTATGACTTTATCAATGTACACAATGCAGAGTACGTGACTTGATTAGATTTTTTTTTTCACAGCCGTAGTTGCGCAGCGATTTTAGCAGCTTTCCACTCTCCTTTGATCATCCAAGTGTCAATGTTTGTAGCCTATTAACAGTGTTAATGAGTGTGTGAATGTGTGTGTGTGTGTTTGTGTGTGTGTTTGTGTGTGTGTGTGTGTGTTGACACATACCGCGGGCGGAATCCCACTTTCCCGACAACCGCATCAAAGTGACGCTTTAACTAATCACACTGAGCGTTTGTTAATGAACACGAAGAGCGAACGCTCCCCGAAGACCATCGAGACGCTTCAGACTCGTTGCATTTCTTCAGGAAAATTACTGGAAAATAAAAATGACAACCAAGGATGTCCGATAACGTCCAACAAAACGCCGAGCTCTCCAAGCGCAACGTGCTAATATGTAATGCTGGAATCCCTTTGCGTATATCCCCGATTTGAGTCTGAAAAGTAGCAACAATTATTAAAATACTGCAAACAACAACAACTTGCAAAGCTGTGGCTGACAACGACACACTAACTTCAACATGCTAACCTGTCATCTAATAACATATAACAACACATTAAGGACACGAACAATCTTTTTGATGACGCGTTTTTCCAAGGCAACATATCGACATGATAGAGAACACATGAGGCTTTAGAACAGAGCCTTGAGGAGCGCCATTGAACAATACATGGAGTCAGTGCTTGGGTTAAGCACACTGTAAGTCATACCATCTTGCTCGACATATTCATTAATTATACACTTGGCAGAGCTAACATTCACGTTTTTTTTTTCGTAATGATCCCAAACCACTCTCCTCATTGTCTATTACGTTGTCTTCCCAATTAAACCGCGAACCGATATGAAGCTTAGTTCCTGTTTGGATGGCTATCCGTGAGCCAAATTGTTTAGTTAATGTAGCCGCTGACTAAAATCCTATCAGAGTCAAGTCATGTGCCATTTGGAAGTCACCGTTTTTGAGCCTCTGAAGCGCTAATGAGATGATTAGCAGACAAAGGGAGGAGAAAGTTGCTCGCCGGCCCGCGTCCGCTCGCTCATCCGTCTTCCTCCGCTCGCCTTTCATCCGCCAACGCGTGCAGGGGAGACCAATCGCTAACCGGCGGAGAAGGGGTGGTGGGTCGGGGAGCAGCGGGGATGAGGGGGCCATTCAGATGGGAGGCAGGGGGTGGATTAAGAGGTGAAGGCCTCTTTGATAAACAATTAGGAGAACAATGGTGGCGAAAATAAGAACTGGGGAAATAAGCCGTCTGTTTTTCTTTCAGATAAGCCAGAATTTTTGAGTGCCAGCAGCTCTCGCGATCTGACTAGTAGCAAATAAAGTATGGTGAAACTGTAACTCTACTGGTGTGCTTTTATTTTGAAGGCCTACCTTATGACAGGATGTCATGCGGTTGTAAGAGTGTTACAGACCAAACGGGGAGGCTTGTCGTCGATTTGAGATGTCGATCAAAGAAAACGCCTTGCCGTCTGTTGACACAATTTGACCAAAGTTCCGAGTTTGATGAAGACGGCAAGAAACAGAACCTCATTAGAATTTCCGAAACAACTCTGAATATTGCTTCCCTCCCTCCTTTCGCCAAGACAAAAAGGTCAAGTTAGATATTCATTTATCCACTTCAAGTGTCCTTTGCATTTATTTCACGCTATCGTTTGTGCGGCAGTAACTACTCCTGATAAAATGTGTTCATTTTTAAAGTTGTCTGTAACGGATTCATTGGATTTGCGTTGTCTTCTATGGGAAATATTGCTTTGGATTTTGGACGAATTTGTTTTCGTCTGACTTTCTCGAACCGATTCATCACCAAAAGCGAAGTTTTTCTTTGGACGAGCCCAACCTCCTTCTGCTTTACGAAGCAGCAACGCCAACTACCGTGCTAGCTTGCATTATTACAATGTCTGCCCACTTCTCAAAAAAAACCTGTTCCAGGGCATTTTGTTGCGTGCCAATGGCAACATCACATCAAACCATCAACACGTTGCGGGCGAGTGCACTCAGCCCAAAACGGCCCGACTTTTATAGTCACAAGAGAGACGTATGATGAGCCCAAAACATTAGCATCCATTTGCTGCAGCCAAATGGATGCTAATGCGCTGATTAGCTTGTTTTTCATGCTGGGAGAAATAAGCTCCATCAAGGCATCAGCACGTGTCGTGTTTGCTCACACTTCCGTTCTCTCTCTGTGTGTGTAGGTATGTGTGTGCGAGGAGGGGGCACACGCATCATGCTATGTGTTAGCCTGCAGCTAACTCAAACTGGCCTGCATGTCACATCTCCCTCCTCCTAATTACGTGGTGCCTCAAAGAGCAAATGAGGTCTTCGCGTGCGTTTTACAAATCAGGAACTCCTCACGGTTACGTTGGATAACTGTGTGGCATATGACATGTCACATGACTTACATCGAGAACGTAAAGCGTATAATTAACGTTTTGGTTTCTGAACAAATGTTCTGCCGTCCCCTTTGCCACCGCAGGAAATCAGCGACACGGAGATCCTGGAGCTGACCCATAGCGCACTGGGACGCATGACGGTCGTTCGGCAGATTTTCCCGCTGTGGAAAGACGGCGGATCGCGATGTATGAGACACAACCATCGCATCTCGTCGCTGCTGTGCGACCCCCAGGAAGGATACCTGCACAACCTGGAGGTAACGACTGGTTGCAAAAGTTAGCTCATCGCTCTGAAGATTGCCAGCCTGTCGAAACATTGGTCTAAAGTTAACTACCCAGTCTAAAATTTGCAGTGGGTCTAATTTTGGCTTGCCGGCTGAAAGGTGGTTAGTCTGTCTGAAGTTGGCTAGCGGGTCTAAGCTGACTATTCCGTCAAAATGTAGCGGGTCCACCCGCCCTGCCTTCAGAGGCACAGATGGTTGACCTCAAAGGCACCTCCAGTGTCTTGACGTGCCGCCGTGTCCCGGCAGGTCTCGAACCTGTACCTGTATGACAGCGTGCTGATGCTGGCCAACGCCTTCTACCGGAAGCTGGAGGACAGGAAGTGGCACAGCATGGCCAGTCTCAACTGCATCAGGAAGTCCACCAAGCCCTGGAACGGAGGCTGGTCCATGCTGGAGACCATTCAAAAGGTTTGGGAGCTCGCTGCTTGTCTGTCGGCAGCCAAATACACTGATTAACCAACAACTACACCCCCCCCCTTTGCCCCCATGCAAAGAATGAATGAGAAGCTACTCAAAGTCAGCGCAAAGATAGCTGATCAGTTGAAATTTAATGTGGAGTTTATTATCCATTCACGAAAGGTCACCTTTTTTTAGTTTATTTTGACGTATGCGCTCCATAACAAATGTTTTGACTTTTTGAGAGTGTGAAGAAAATAAGCTTGTGTCGGACGATTTTTCCCTTCCGCTGACAGCTGCCGCAACCTTTGCCGCCGACAGAGGAACGTTTTTTTTTTTTTTTTTTTGGAAAATACATTCACACTGACGGCTGTCTGCGCTGCTGCACCAGCTAATGGAAGCCATGAAATGTCATGTCATCCACCGGCAAACCAAAAAAAAAAAAGAAAACACGGCTCCGCTCGGACGTGCCGCGCATGAAATCATCGCCGCTGATGACTCGTGATGGCTGCATCGCGCTCACTGGTGACACTTTAAAGGCCCCGCATTGTGAAAAATTGACTTTTGTGTACAAAAATAGTCGTCTTGTAGACTGGGGTCCCCTATTAACCCATCGGGGGGGACAAATATTAAACAGCCGAGTAAATCTTTAGTAGGGCTGTTGTAACGTCGGCGTTGAACTTGCCGCTGCGTCGCCAGGGCAACATCACGGGGCTGACGGGCACCATGGACTTCAAAGACAGCGGCGCCAACGCTCATGTCCACTTCGAGATCCTCGGCTCCAGTTTCAGCGAGACCTTCGGCAAGGACGTCAAGAGGGTGAGTGGAGGCCATCTGCGGGTGCTAAAACGCTTGTTAACACCAAATGGTTCCATTGTTACCATTTGGACTGTTACCATATCTCATTGCCATGGCAATAGTGACGTCACGGCTCGCATCCCACGTTGCTTCATACCGTAACTTCCTTGACAGCCATAGTCAGAAGTCACAGCAACACCTAGTGTTCTGGCATGCACAATGCACCTCTGTCTTTCTCTTGCATGTACACACTGGCGTTGTTCGACTTGATAACCGTGTGTTGCACTCGAAAACACCTTCCTTCTCGCTTACTTTCATTAAACACGGATGTGGAAATGACACCCAGTCTCATACGCAGGCATCCCCATTGCAGTGATTTAGCGGCTTGTGGGGTCCGCGTGTCAGTGCGTGCACACACGCTCAGAGTTGCCGCAGTAATGAAGATTTAATCATCTGGCCTCTCATTCTGAGTTATTAGTCCCTCTGTACTTTATAATGGCCATCCTCTTCTCTCACACACACACACACACACACACACACACACACACACTGGGTGAGCGTTAATAGAGCACTCATGGAAACACGGACGTATTATTGTTATTAGCATGCTGGTGCTCAGTCAAGTGTTTTACACGCATGCTCATTCATATGTGCACTCATTAATATGCATGCTTATGAACATGTCTGCATGTGGTCATCTGCCTTGATCTGATTGAACAGCTCTCCACTCATTCGTTTTGCTCATTTCGACATGTGGAGATGAAGCGCGTCCTAATCCATCACGCCGATCGCATCACATTCTCGAAAACGTGTCGATAACGGTGGGAAAAGTGTGGGTGTTGAACCTTTTCACCGGGAACAACGTGGGCGTAAACAACTGCATATCTGCTGCTTTTCTGGAGCAGATGCAGCTTTCGCCGTGCCGGCTCGGTTAGCTTGTTTTTGCTAATCAGCGGCAGCCACTTCGCGCTCTTTACGGGTGGCGCCATCTTAACGGCGGGCGGTGCGGTCATTAAGGAACAATAACGGCTGTGCTCGCGTCAGCTAACGAGGCTAATTAACTCCCGTCATGTCACGCCGCCAGCTCTGCTCGCTTATTAGCAGCGGCGGCTAATGTGCGCTTGGTTATCTTTTGTTGCCGGCGATCACGATGAGGACAAAGCGCACTAAAAGGCGCTGCTCGCACCCGCGTTGCGAGCACAAACTTTGACACAAAGCTTACAAGAGGGATCGAAGAGTGAGGATTTTGCTCACCTGTGTTGCCGTGGCAACAGCTACGTGTTTGAATCCAGCTGACACGCACAATCAGGAGCCGGTGCGCCCGCGGTTCCGCCAGACTCATTCCGTTGCGTGTCTTGTTTTTCTTGTTGCCAGTTGGCTACATGGGACGCGGTGCACGGCCTGAACGGCAGCCTGAAGGAGAGCCGGATCGAGAGCGGCATGCAGGGAGTCACCGTCAAAGTGGTCACGTTGCTGGTACGCAAATCCTTTTGCACCCTGGACTGGAAGGACTCAAAGTGTGTTGAAAATAATCCAAGTCCGTCAAGCTTAATGCTATTACATTGTGGGAAAAACCTGCTCTTGGGCAGTGATGGAAATCACTGAATGCACAAGAGTGTATTCTTTATCCTCTGCAAAGAATGACACACGTGTTTGCAACTTAGTGACTGACAGACAAGTTTGTCTGTCTGACTGCTATTATACTAGCCCCGGAGGCTAGTTCTTTACATTCCATTTAATTTTGCTTTGATGAAGCAAAATATGATCATGCTATTCTTCTGATTTCAAAACACATTGCAATCATTTGGGTTTTTTTGGGGCTGTGGGGGGGGGGGGGAAGGTCATGTGAACAGAACCGCAAAGACGACGGTAAAAAGTTTCTGTGTGACAAATCCTCTTCTTTTTGGGGAAGGCGGTGTGCGACAGTGCGAGTGTTTGAGCTTGATTGGCAGCTCAGCTTTTAATGACTTTGGGAGAAACAAACAAGTGAGTGTTTTTCATCCTGAGCTCCACCGAGCGAGTCTGTACCTCGGTCGGCCACCCCGCGCTCGTATTAGAGCCTCGTCACGGATACTACACCTCACCGCCGCCCCCATCTCCCTCCGGCATGTCCCCCGCCCCTTCCCCCGCCACATCTCTTGACCCCCTGAGTCCTGTCCAGCTTGGTTAAGGTAGCACTTGAGGAATCAAAGCAGACACTCACTGGACACTTCATTAGGTACCCTCTCTCCTTCGACTACGAGGGCTCTTGTCAATGCTCCACTCTGTTTTTCTTCTGTGTTCTTCTGGTAAATGTTCTTTCTGGTCCCCTTTCTTGTAAAGGTTCTCCTGAGTATTCTCCTGAGTGTTCTTCTTGTAAATGATCTTGTAAATCTCCCATCTGAGAGGTCTTGTAAATGTGAGATTTCTTCTGGTGAATGTTGTCGTGACTGCTCTTCTCTTCTCGCGAATGTCCTTTTCGCAGGAGGACCCCTTTGTGATGGTGGCGGAGAACATCCTGGGCCAGCCCAAACGGTACAAAGGCTTCTCCATCGACGTGCTGGACGCCCTCGCCAAGATCCTGGGCTTCAAGTACGACATCTACCAGGTGAGCGCTCCCACGCGCCACTTCCTGTTGACTCCGCGCGAAAGCGTCTGAGCTCTCAACGCCGTTCCACCAGGTGTCCGACAGCAAATACGGATCTCAGCTGCCCAACGGCTCCTGGAACGGCATGATCGGCGACCTCATCAACAAGGTGAACCGTTGACTCGCCGCCAAACACGATCGATTGTGTTTTCTCATCTTTTGAAGTCACCGCTGGAATCAAAATACCGTACCGTGTCCGCGACAGAGAGCCGACCTGGCCGTGTCAGCCGTCACCATCACGCCGGAGCGCGAGAACGTGGTGGACTTCAGCAAACGCTACCTGGACTACAGCGTGGGCATCCTGCTGCGGAAGCCCGAAGAGAAGATCAACATCTTTTCGCTCTTCGTGCCTTTCGACTTGGCCGTGTGGGCCTGCATCGCCGCCGCCATCCCGGTGGTGGGCGTCCTCATCTTCCTGCTCAACAGGCTGCAGGCGCTACGCTCGTCGGCCGCGCAGAACGCCCCCCCGGGCCCGACCGGCAACGGCTCGGCATCCGGATCCCTGCACAGCGCCATTTGGATCGTCTACGGGGCCTTTGTGCAGCAAGGTGGGCCCACTTTTCATGCGGCGTAGATGATGGGGTGGTCAAAAGGAGACCGCGAAACCCAAAAAAGTGCTTTCAATACGAGACTGCATCGATGTGTTGTCGACGTGTTCGTAGGCGGCGACGGCGTGGTGAGCTCAGTGGCGCTGAGGATCGTCATGGGCAGCTGGTGGCTCTTCACACTCATCGTGTGCTCGTCGTACACGGCCAACCTGGCGGCGTACCTCACCGTGTCCCGGATGGACCACGCCATACGGTAAGTGCACTCCGGGGCAGCGGAAAGTAATTAGGGTGCGAGCGCCAGGCGCTGCCGAGATCCTCTCGGAATTGCCGCTCGTTATTTTCCCAACCAATGAATCACCTTCAACATGCGCGAAAACTCTGCAACTTTGCCTAGTGCGTTTATTCTGCTGAAAATGTATTTTAGGAAGGTTACGAAAAAAAATAATAAATCGGCCCCTGCCACCAGTTTGATTGATTGATCGAGATCAAAGTGTCAAGGACACTTTGCCCGAAATTGAACAGGAAGTCGCTCAGTTTGGGCGAAAACAGATGGACGAAAGTTAGCCCCCGACGCAGTTCACTGATCAGCATGAAATTGTCTTTCACGAGCGGAAAAAAGTCTCATGGACCCGCGCCCAAAACGGAACAGGAATGTCATCCATTGTGGGCTGAAGCACCTTTTGTTCAGTGATCTCCAGGGCTCGTTCTTTGACAGTCGTCGTCGGTAAACAAAGCTCGCAAGTGTTCATTTGCTGGCTCACAACTTCTCCCCGTCGCGCGTGCCAAGCGACCCGGCTGGTGCCTGCATGGCTGTCACGTTGCATCAAAGCTAACGCGGCCTCGCTTCGTTTTCTTTGAGTCAACATGATTTGTCCGACAGGCGTCCACGGGCGTCCTGCTTCCGTCACTCTTTTGTCATTCGCCCATTCCAAGCCGAGAAGATGGCGGTCACGCTCCTCCTTCGGCTCCCCCCGGGATGAAGACATCCGCGTTTGACGTTTCCATCAGAAGCATGCGTGAAGATAGACCTGGTATGAATCCAATGAATGCCTGAGTGGACATTTTCCCGAGACGCCGCCTGGTGAAGTGCGAAGTCTTTCATTCCGCGAATAGGACGCACTAATGGCTGGACCCGACGCGCTTTTAATGACACGCCTCCTCTCATGTTGCTGTCTTCTGCATCTTGTAAGAGCGCCGACGGTCGCACCTACAGAACAGCCTCCCCGGGAAGTCGAGGAAGTGGAAAAATGGAACCGGACAGAACAAAATAAAGCTTCTGGATGTCGTTCACCGCTTACACTAACAACGTGGCTGCAAACTGAGAGGAGCTGTTTTTCAGGAGCGCAGTTGTCAGCTTGTCACCTTGCGAGTGCCTTGAGAAACAAAGTCCGTCCTAGTACCCCCCAAACCGTCAGTCAGCTATGCCCGTTGGAATGAATAAAAAAGCCATTTATCCGTTCCAGAGACAAACATTTTCATGAGCAAAAATAGCAATCTGTAAATTTGTACCATATTTACTGTTGCAGGTCCTTCCAGGACCTGTCGCGGCAGATGGACGTGGACTACGGCACGGTGAGGGACTCGGCCGTGTACGACTACTTCCGCAACAAAGGCACCAACCCTCTGGAGCAGGACAGCACGTACGCCGAGCTGTGGCGGACCGTCAGCAAGAACGGCGGCCTGGACTACTCGGTGTCCAGCCCCTCCGAGGGCATACGCAAGGTCAGCTACGCTCGCCGATAACCAACTTTGGCCAGTGTGGGAAGCAACCAAAAAACAAACAAAACAAAAAAAAACAACAAAAAGGTTTCCCACAATGCACCTGTCTGAGCTGCTCCAACACTGGCACAAATCACTTGGATATAATCACTTGGAAGTGGACCTTCCGGGGATCTTTTTTTTTTAACTGTTGATCGACGTTGATGTGAGCAGATTAGCCCACAGATTGTCCCATTAGCTGGAAAAAAAAAACGGTTGTCATGGCAACCGTGCACGTCTCCACGCAGGCCAAGAAGAGCGCGTACGCCTTCCTGTGGGACATGGCGGCGTTGGAGTACGCGGCGCTGACCGACGACGACTGCGCCGTCACCGTGTCGGGCAGCGGCGTCAGCAGCAAAGGCTACGGCATCGCCATGCAGCACGGCAGCCCCTACCGGGACCTCTTCTCCCAAAAGTAAGGCAGTGAACACATCATGTTGGAGTGAGACTGTCATTGAATGCACCGCGACTATCACTGGTGGTGTGATCGACCGTGTCTCAAGTTTATCGGAAGATGCGGGTGTCCTTGAATGCATGGCGAGGCTGCCAAATCTCTGTCGAGCCATTGAACGCATCACGGGAGTGCTCGGTCACTTCGGGTGCCTTTGAACGCATCACTGATGTATCCGTTTGACTGTCGGCGAGGATGCCTTGAACGCATCACAATTGTCCTGTCGGCGTGCCATTGAACGCAACGCAGCACAAGACATTGAACATGTTACAATTGCGTTTTACGGGTGTCATTGAAGGCATCGTAGCTGTCTTGTGAAGACAAACAAGTAAGTCAGCATCAACTTGTCTTGTCCAAATGAGTTAACAACGATTTTGGACAGCGATGTTCCGTGTTGCCGTGACGACCTCAAAGGTCCCCAAATCCAAGAAGGATGGTGAGAAGTGCCACTCTGACTTTTTTTTTTCCTCACGTCTGAGGAAAAAAATGCTGCAGGCAGAGAAATGTGATTTTTTTTTTTTCCCGTGTAAGGAGAAGTTTTTGTTCAAGTCAGTGAAGCAGAAATGCACACCCCGAAAAAATCCTGCCATGTTTGACACGCTCGCCTCTTTGTGAGAAGCCGGACATTCGGAGAAAATTCATGTGAGCGCCTCCGTCTTCATCCCGGCAAATTGATCCCAAAGTGAGTTGAGGAATCATTTGGTTAAATCTCCACTTTGCATCAGCAACAAAACTTCTCACCCGTCTCGTATCGATCGCGCAAAGGCCAAGCAGACAAACACCAGCGTGAGTGGGGAAAAAACCTCCGTCAGGTCGTGCAATGTCACACCGCCGACTTTCCACCATGGCCCCTGTTGCTATGGAAACAACAGACTGTCACCTTCCGAGAAGATTGAACGTGCGGTGCGTTGTCAGACGTAATGTGACCTTCCACTGCCAATCTGTAAACAGTTTATCCTCGTCAAGACAACAAACTTTTAAAGGATGGGCAAGCGCTCACGGCGAGGGGTGCCCTTGAACGCATCACCAGTTTGTAGGGTCACTGAATGCAAGGTTGTGCGTGACCGTCCTCTTGCTCCTTCACATCTTCAGCATCATGTTACCATGGCGACACACTGCTACCTTGACTTGAAGCCACTCCGCCACCAAACCTTTGACTGCCTCAAATCAATTTTCCCCCCATTGGAACAAATTGAAATTCCTTTCATCTATTCCAGCCCGTAAAAAAAAAAAAAACTGCCCACATTACCCATTATCTTTTTTTTTTTTTTTGGGAGGGAGCAATCATTGACTGGCTGCCATTTTCCAAGCAGAGTTGCACATATTGCAAGCCATTGTCATCAGAATATTGTGTTCCGTGACCACAGTAACACCAAAAGCTCCCAAAAGACGACTTTCACCAGAAAAAAAAGGGTTTCCAGCTTTTTTCCGTTCTTTAGTCATCAGCAGTAGACTAGTAGTAGACTTTGACGAATAGATTTTTTCTCTCGTGACACCCGATAAAATGAGAAAAACAGGACGGAGAAAGGGCTTTTGCTGGCCATGTTGACATGACTCCAAAAGACGACTTTCACCAGAAAAAAAAGGGTTTCCAGCTTTTTTCCGTTCTTTAGTCATCAGCAGTAGACTAGTAGTAGACTTTGACACGAATATATTTTTTCTCTCGTGACACCCGATAAAATTAGAAAAACAGGACGGTGAAAGGGCTTTTGCTGGCCAAATTGACATGACAAAGAAACGTCATCGAAACGCTGACTCACCCCGGGGCTCATGTCAGACGTCCGGCTTTTTTACACGCCGTTTACCGTTCATTCACCCCGACATTGTTTCAAAGTTCCAACACGCACTTTCGACCACCTGCCAGAAGACAGACACACGTCGTGCCGCCAATTCCCTCCGTCAGAACGGACGTGACACTTCGCCCAAACGGTGGCATCGTGGAAGCTGGCAACATGGAGCAAAACAATCCACCAAGCGACGTCTCACAACTGGAAAAAGTCAGAAGCGGTTGCAGGCGGGTGGGCGTGCGATCGGAATTTCTTGTCAGGAGAGTTTAGCGGGAGATTAGAACAATCCCCCCACGCGGGTGTCGTCCCAAATGGGAGCCGAAAAGGTCAATCGCTCAGCCTAAGGGAGGACAAATTGATCGTGACGGTCTTCGCCGTCCTGCGGCGCGTCCCGCGGCGCGTCCGGGTTCAACGTGCCGCTCGGGGATGGCCAATCCTCTGCTCCCTCTCGTTAATCCGTGCGCCTCTAGGGATTGCCCTGTGAGTAAAGGCAAAGTTCCTCGCAAGAAGCTCAGCCGGGATGTGCCACCTGTGAAAGTGAGGCCACAAGCGCAGACAACATCTCTGCCAAGGGGGAAAAAAAATGACTCAGAAATGAGATTCTTTTTACATAAGTACATGTAATGCTTTGCTGCCCTCTTGGCGCAGGAGAACTGCTGTATGTCGAGGTGTGTGGAGGAGCTTCATTTTGACAAAAGCCGTGCTTTGGCGCCATCTTGTGGCACATTTCTGCCAAGGAACTATGTGAAAGGGAGTTGAAGAGCTTCATTGCCAGAAAGGCAGCGCTCTTGCAGACATCTTGGTGTCTAGGAACTGTCTTGAAGTGAGTTGAGGCGATTGATTTCAACAAAAGTACTGCTGGTTAACAGAATTGACCATAAAGGTTTGAATAATTAAACACCCTCTCTGAGCAGCAACACCGGCGAAGAAAGTACAGCGGTTAACAGTAAAAACTGGATGAGAAAAAAAAATCTACCTGAAAAATCAACTTGTCCGCATTGTTAGTTGGCATCGGTGCATGGCGCCCCCACCCCCGCCCCCCCCCCCACACACACACACACACACCCTCTCCGAGCTGCTGCAGTAACAAAGAAGCCAAATCAATGGAGTCGCTCTCAAGCAGTGAAATAACACAGCGGCCGTCCTCAGGCCACTCCAGATGACGCTTAATGAGAGATGATTGCTTGCAAATGATTGAAAATCCCCCTTGCCCACCTCCCCCCCAAACATTGATTATCGCTGTCTGATCCACCCCGTAATGAGATCGCAATTACAATGGTGGCGACGAAATGGCCGCCTTGTTACGCCGGCCTATATCTCTGCGTTGCGCACCGCCCACACATCAACACGCCGCCGAAACGCCCC